CCCCCGAACAGCGGCCGGTGCAGCCCCCCCGCCCCGGAGCTCCTCTCCCGCTGTCCTGAACCTCCCTGTCCCCGCAGGGACCCCCAGGAGCTGCAGACCCCCCTGCCCTCAAGCCCTCCCCAGGCGTTGCAATTAATCACCAGAAATAAAAGCCACACAAGCACACAAACCCCCCAACCCTTTATTTGCATCTTCTGCGTCTCTTTTCCTCCTGCTGCAGAGCAGCCAGGGAGCCTGAGGGAAACAAACCCATCTCCTCCTTCCCCGGGTGGGTCAGAGCCCGGTTCCTCAGTGCAGCAACAGATCCCAATTCCAGAAAGTTTAGGGAACGAGCTGCAGCAGAGGCACCCGAACGGGAACCGCACCTCCAAAGCCCGAGGCTGGTATTTGTCCACTTTTGGGGGAAATCGTAGCTAGTTTAACGAGGAGACTCCTCCCGCCCTCAGCAAGGCTTGGCTGCTCTGCACACAGCGCTGGGTCTGACCCGCCCGTGCCCGGGGAGGTTTCAGCACCGACCAGTGCTCGGAGGGCTGAAGCGTTTGTTTACTGGAGCATTAGGCTTGAAGAATGTAAGAGATGTGGAAGAGAAGGCAGAAAGGGAAAGGCAGCAATTTCCATAGTCTCTTTGCTGCCAGGCTCACCTGTGATAGCTTCTTTTATTTCCAAGAGGAATTTCAGGTGGGTTTAATCAGGGGCCAGTTAGAATTGAAACCTGCATGTTGTGCTAAAGGCTTTGAGATGTTCCCACTCTTAAAGGGACTGAATCTAAATGGAAACAAATCAGAACCATTTCTCCCACCAAAAGCAGACATGGGTACATGCAGTTAAATCAAAGTCCAGAGTCTGTGGATGTTTAGACAGGTCTCTGCAAGTTTCCTCCTGGGCTGCTCCAGTAACCCAAATTCCAGCACCCAAAAGCCCTGGATTTCCTCTGCATTTTGTCTGGATACCTGACGTCCATTGTGAGGTGCTGGGGGCTGTTATTTCTCCTGTATATCCGTGGTGGATTTTGTCAGTGGCAGCCCAGTGTACTTAACCCAAATTCTCTACTCTCTGAGGAGGTGTGAGCCATCTGATCTGAGAAAAGATGTGGCTGAAATGCATTATTCCCAGTTATCTTCCATTTAGGATTAAACCTTTGCTCATTGCTACCATTATAGGGCTAAACCCGGGGTTATTTCCAAGCCATGTGTTTAGAGATTACAGTTTAAATAATTCTCAGTGTATTTTGTGGTCTTGCTATTGTTCAGGCTGTACCTTCTCCTGCCAGCCAAGAAAGAAGTAGGCAGACGTGAAGGCACAGCATGTGAAGTTCACCTGGGGGCTTTCCCTCATGTTGGGTTGTGTTTGTTTTTCTTATTTCACCCCCGAGTTAATTCAAAAGTAAAAAGAAGGAAGCAGCTGTTGGGGGGGAAAAAAACAAAGCACAACCCAAACCCTACTGAACTGCTCCTTCTCAGGAGAGCTGGCTACAAAAGAAGATTGGCTAAGAGGGTTGTTAAATGACTTTGCTCCATTCCTTGGAGCACAGGGAAGCAGCACACAAGGTGCTGCAGGGCTCTGGGCCTGGGAAGGCACCAGAGTGAGTAAGCAAAGCAGCTGCAAGTCAGGTTTGAAGTGCATTAATGGCAAGCTCTGCACAGCGTGTGAGCAGGCATTCCCATGTCCTGAGCTGGGCTGAGGTTTAAAGAAGGACAAATAATGGAAAGAAAGGGCAGGAGTGATGTGGAGAGTGATGTGCAGAGGTCTTGCTGGTTGGACATCTGGAGCCTTTTGCTGTGGATTCAAGCTGCTTGAGAGCAGGTTTTTGCATCTCTTCATGTTCATTTTCTGTCTTTAAACTAAGCAGAGCAATGATGCACTTGCTCAAGCTGGCAAATCACTTGTAATAAATCACTCAACATGTTTCACTTCTTTTCCTGTTTGGCAAACTGTCTAAAGTCAGTTGGGATTTTTTTTGGGGGAGCCACTAGTTCTCCAAGAGGTTTTATTTGTTGACTGATTCAAAGCCAGTCCCAGAACAATGCAATTGTAACTATTCATAGACTCAGAACCCAGTGTGAGCTATGGTTCTGCTGGGATCACTGGAGGAGAGTGTTCCTCTCTGGACTGGAACAAGCTTCCCGGGATGAATATTTGAGTGTATTAATCTACCATCTCTGATTTTGACAAAGTTCCTCTGCAGTACTATGATTCTATGATTTGGTTAGAATATTTGAGTTTTAATGAGCATTCCTGAGTGAAACTAGGCTATGTATGAACAACCAGGTTTCCTTATAATAAGAAAAAACCAGCAACTATTCACACAAGACTTGTCATATTTGATTCTTGCTCATAATACTGAACTTGTCCCACTTAATTACTTCTTCCAGTTGTTGTGGAGCTTACCAATATTCTTCTAGGAACTGCAGATTGCTCAGCAGAGCACATACTGATAAGCAGGAAGAGCAGTAAGTGAAATGTCCTGCAGGGTGTCACCTTGTGTCACCACGTGTCACCACGACACTGGCTAGGCACTGCACATCTCCCCTCATGCCATCAAGATGTAAGCTCTCTGTGGCCTCTGATACTTCATTCTTTAGAGCAGTACTATTTCCCAGCTTTGTTTATCACCCTCCTTGCAGCTGCTTGAATCAGCCTGTGAATCTGGTTTATTATATATTCTTCACTGCTGAGCTTGCCAGTTACTTCTGTCAGTCAGGATGTCTGGTCTGAATGTTGGCATCAGTGTGGGATCTGGTAGCAGCAGTGAGTCCATTAGAGACACCTTATTTAGGTCTAGTTAACACTTTAACTGGCAGACATCCTCTAAACCACACTGCAGCTGATTTTAGGGGTTTTTTTCCACATAAATTAAACAGCTCTTAAACCATCCCCATGCCAGTAAATTCATGTTTTCATGCCACTTCAGCTGGAGGAGGTTTTAAAAGCTACTTATTGTGGCAGCATCAGAGAAGAGAGCTCTGAGGCAGAATGAGATGTGTCCCCTGTTCACCTGGGGGTCAGTACCTGGGGGTCTGGCTACTTGACAGCCTTAGCAATGGATTAGTGTGCTGGGCAGCAGCAGGCAGGCAGGAGGGCATAGAAACAGGGTGTGATATTGCAGTGATCATGTGTCTTTCTCCAAATAGTTGTGGTCTAATGCCCTGGCGTGAAGGGATATTTCACATCCCTGCTGCCACATTGTTCTCTGCCACAGGTACTGTGACTATTCCTGGTGGTTATTACCAAGTCAGAAGCAAATCAGGACAACCCTGAGACCTCTTCTGCTGCACTTGGCTTCCAATGGCTGTTCTCATCTTGCCCTCTTCCATCTCAGGGTCCAAACCAGACCATGTCCTTCCACACCCTGGAACAAGTAGGCTCAGTTATTTACCTAAATGAATTAATCTCAGTGCAATTTAGCATCAACTTTTTTTTTTTTTTTCCTGGTTGCCAGAAGAGCAAGGGTGACTCTGCTGCTGTAAGTAAAATGTTTAAGATGTTAATGTATCAAAAGAAAATACCAATGCACTTGAGGTATTTTGTTGAACATCAGGTCCAGCAAACCTCTACTCTCTTCTTTCCAAGCTGAAGTATCCACAATTCAGCCACACTATACTAGAGTCTGGGCTGACAGCACAAACCCTCTAATGGGGCTAATTGCCCCCTCACATGAGCTCCTCAGAGCACCAAGCTGGTCCTTGCCACTCCAGTGAGTCAGATCTGCACAGTCCCTGTTAGCAGCTCTCACACTTGAGTCTGCAGTCAACAGTGAGACAGTGTTTGACTCAAATATGGCCTTTCATTAATTTATAACTGCATATCCAGCACTCAGTATCGTATTTAATGCAAATACAGTTGAAGGGAAATCCCCACTGAGAGACACATTATGAAGATTAATAGTCTGGCTTTTCTGTTACCCTGGTTTGTGCTGTGCTGATCTGTGCTTGGTGCTTCATACGCAAGTGTTAAGAACATTTGAATCCAGAAACCTGTATCTAAGACTGCCATTTTGCAAAAAATCAGTGCCTGAAATCCTGCTTGTGGCCCCACAGCCAAAGGAAAGGGCTAGAGGCATAAAAACCTCTGGGAAATACTGGCATCTATGTGGGCAAGAACCTCCAAAGGTAATCTCTGCTGGCCATGCAACAGCCCATCTGTGAAGGTTTTATTTCATCTCATTATGTAGCCCACTTTGCTTTCAAACAAATTGTCAGGAAAATTCATCTCACCAAGTTTAAGGTGACACTGAAGGGATTCTCATACCCTGCAATTATCTGGGGCTTTTTTATCCCTTTGTCTTTGTGTGATGAATTCGTGCCTGATTTTCTGTGTGGGAAGATCCATCCCTCCCACCCTCTGCAGAACTGA